AGAATTTTTTACCCAACTCGATCAACTTGTTCTAGGAAAGTAATTCGAGAATTAGAGGGACTGGTACTTGGCAGGGAAGTTTCCCGCAAAAAGTTAAATGGGAAGTCCTAAAGAGCAATCAAATGGGCGTTTCAATTTTCTTTTCTTCTTTTTTTCCCAGGAATTTTTTAGACTTCTTCTAGGAGAGTAATTCGAGAATTAGAGGGGCTGGTATTTGGCAGGGAAGTTTTCCGCAAAAAGTTAAATGGGAAGTCCTAAAGATTTTTTCTTCCTCTCTTCTTGGGCGCGAATACCATGAATGCAATTTAACTTGGGGCAAATGAAATTTCGGAAAAGCGGCATCCGACTCGCTGATTCCGAGTTAAGGGACACCTAATTTCGCGACGTCCGTCTCCCTTCCTACATAGGAGACGGAGGCGTCGAATGCGCTTCTCGACTTTGAACGCTAGTGGGAACGACGATCCATGGAATTCGATAAAAGGCTCTCAAAGAAGTCCCGAAAGCTTCCCCGGGGCAATATCAGCACCTTCCGAATCTACTGGGAAGCCCATTTGCATCGGCGACAGCGTGGAGAATTCCTCGCCCGGTTGCGAGGAACTGTAATGAACCAGTCGAATTTTAATCTCTCGCCCGAGGCGTCTCCGAATTTCCTAAAGGGCGTGTTTATCACGGGGAAAGACGTGGCTCGACATCCGGGGATCGATGGAAAATTCGGAAAATTGGGTATACAACGTCTCCCACTCGGGGCTGCTCTTAATTAGACGGGGTGACGTTTAATGCGCTTTCTGGGTCATTTAAGGCGGTCGCACTCGCGACGGTCCGGAGAATCTTGAGTTTTGTCGTGGAAAGTAATCTCTAATGAGCCGGCTGAATTTTCACTCCTTTTCCGGACACGCAGAAGCGGGGAATTACCGCGGGAAATGGACGTAGCTAACGACATGCCACGGAAATTAAATGCGGGATCTCGCGGTGTGCGCGGAATTTTCGGCGGGATTTAAATGCCCGTCAGAAATGAACCCAGGGGATGCTTCAAAGAGACTCGACCGACTTGATTTTCCTATCTCTCCAAGAGGGTCCCCTGAAGCAAGTTAAATTACCCAGGGAATAATCAGCTCCCTGTAGATTTTAAATATTTAAATTTTCACTGCCCCGCCCTCTTCTTCTTGTCGTCTCTCCGGCCTTTTTCTCGCATTCCACTCCGGAAAGAAGAGATAATTACCGGATAATTTCCTGTTCCGCCATTCCCTGTCCCGCCCTCCCTAGGGAGGGTCGAATTGACGCTGAATTAATTCAATCTAATTATTCCCTTTGCACTTAGGGCGACAGTTGCACGCGAACTATGTGTTTCCAACCTGGAAATCCGGTGGGTTTGGCCATCGGAAATTCAAAACTCCGATTTATAGTATTCTTCCCCCCCGAAGCGATTCATTTCACATTTTGCTACTATCTGAGCAGGGTTTGTTAAATATTTAGGGATGGAGTTTTTTCTTTTTCTTTCTTTCTTTCGGGTGAAATTTAATTATCGGTCATTTCGGTCATTTTCTTCGTCACTGGCGTTTCGGAAATTCGGCTCCTCTTTCTTCTCCTCTCTCTTGGTCCATCGATCAGATCGCGTTTCAAGCTCTCCTCGTTCTCGCTGTCATTATCCCTGTGGTCTAAAAGATGGATGAATGCGATGAAAAGGCCTCTGGTAGTTAGAGCAGAAAAGACCTCCCTTCGACGGCAGGCCATTCCAGTTTCTTCCCCCTCGAAATCGTGTCCTCCACCCTCGTTAACCCTTTCAGAGCTGGCCGGGCTTTTCACCTCCGCTCGACCTCTCGAAAAGAACCGGCGGAGGTGTTAATTCGTGATAAAATGAAATAAGGGTGCAGAAAAACTCGACGTCTCCTGGCACCCCCTTCCTAGGGGGTGAAAGAGTGTTTTCTCGTGATTGCGCGTAAATGAAAATGAAAAGAAAGAAAAGAAAAGAAAAGGAGTTCACGGAGTAAGACTTTGGCGTTCGAGGCCCGGGTTCGCGCCCACCCTCCTCCACATTTTTTTTTCCTCTTACTTTTTTCATTTTTCATCAAATTTGGAAAATTCACTGGACCTGGGATTGCGGAAATGGAATTTTCCGGACAATTTTGTGTATCGGAGGGGAATACTTCCAAGGGAATTCCTCGAGTTTCTTCCGGGAAGAAAGTTCGATCTTCGATTTCTTGTCCCTCGAAAGTCCAGGACGCCGATCGGGGAAGCTTTGGGAGCCTCGAGGACGGAATTTCTCGGGGAAATTCTCGGGGCGCAATTCCGTTCTTCGAGGGGAGACCGAGTTGGGGAAATCGACGAGGTGTCGATGTTTTCCACCTCTTGGAGCAATGGGGGAGCGGACTTTAAAGTCAATTTAGGATCCCTGGATATATCTGGACGAGGCTCGGGGTTCACCTGGATTTACGTGGAACTCGCGCAGGAAATTCGTTTTGGAAATATTCCAGTGTCTCGCGGCCTCCGAGAGAAAATTCCTTTTCGAGACTTCCGGGCTGAAATTTCAGAACCTCGTGAAACCTAAATCCTAGAACGGCGAGGGAGAGACTATCCTTGATCGAGGACGTGCCCCCCCTTGGCTGGCCTTTTCCTTTTTCTGGGCAAAAATGGGGAAGAGAGAGAGAGGGAGATGGAATTTCTTCCTGCTCCTTTCGGCTGACCCTATGTCCGCTCGTTCCTATTTACGGCCCATCCGGAACGGGAAAAGCGAAACGGATGTTCCTTTTATCCCGGAATCTAATCGTAAGGGGGGAAAGGTTACGACTAATCGATCCTCAAGGGATAGACTCGCAATGATGTTCAGCTTTTTCCGGCAAAGAGGAAGAACGTTGATTTTCCGGGATTTTTTTCGAGAAGAGTGAGAAATTAATTGGGAAATTCATTTATATCGCGAAATTTCATCGCAAGGGATGCATAAGTTACGGCTAATCGATGTTTTCCTTGTTCTTTTTTATTTTAATTAATTATTTGCTCGTCTCCCGAAAATGCCAAGATGGCGTCGCCGTTCTTCCAAAGGAAGGGCGCGTTTCGTATCGCCGTGGACGTTTTCGTAAACCGAGTACTCTCTCGGAGGATTAATTTTTCAAAGGGGAAAGAGTGACGTCGCGTATGAAAAGCTGAGCCGCGGGTTTTTCCCCCTTTCCTTTTTGGTAGATTTAAAACCCCAGGGTGGATTTTCCGCGCGATGGAGGAAACCCACGCGAAGGATCCGTTTCAATCTGGGACGAAGAATTTTTTCGCCCCCCCTCCAGGAGGATCCACTTCCCTATTCGCGGGGGAAACGTGCCTGGAATACGCGAAAAACCGACCCGTCTGAAGCAATTTTCCTAAAAAGGCCGCGCCCGCCTCTTCTTCCCCATAATCGGTCGAGGGAGAAAGGCCGCGGAAAAAGTGGCAAGAAAAACGGGGAAATATCCCCAGCAAGGACGAATCCTGCGAGCTGCTCTATTTTCGCTACTTTCAACCCCCCCTCGACCTTCTAAGCCCTCGAACTGCACGAGGGAGCCCACCTTTTCCTCCATTTCCTCACCTTTTGGAACCTCCACCCTCGCAGGAAATCGAAACTCCTTGCGGGATGTATTTCGGGTCATACCTCGTTACACATAATTTCCGGTACCCAGAGAAGCTACTTTGAAATTAATTATCCAAATCTCGACGGCATTTCTTTTTTTTTTTCCCCCTTTTTATCTCCCCGACTGGCGGGCCATCCTTTCGGGCTTAAGTTAAGGAAACGAGAAAAATGCTGAATTTCTGCGAAATTCCGGCATTTGATTTAACGCGGGTCAGGGGTCACGAGGAGGCTTCCGGGTTGAAAGAAAATTCGTGGCCGGCCTCGCGGAGAATTTATTTCGAATTCCCACGCGATCCTCCTTTGCAGTACATCAAGGCTTCAATTCGGCTCTTTGGAGCCGAGGGTGATCCTGTCGAGGGTGGACCTAACGTGGTGCCATTTTATTACGAATTTTATATATCCGGAGAATTTCGACCGAGTCGACCCCACGTAGAGTCTGGACATAACGTGATAAGGGATCCTCCAGGGAAAGGATTTAATAGAAAAAGAACTGACTTTTTCGGAGTACACGTGTTTTCGCCCGTAAGAAGATGAGCTTGCGAGTTCCTTTCCAAGGAAGGATAATTAAGATCCTTTTTAGAGAGGGATCTAACGATCGGATGTCAGTCCGAGAGCGTTCTAAAAATCGTTCGTCTTGAGATAAGAGGTTGTCAATTTTTTTTTTCCCCCTACATTCGAAGGGGAAATTTATATAAATCCTGGTGTAAATCCTCACATCGAATTTCCGAATCTTGAGAGAGCTGGTATATTTCATTTTTAATCGTTGTATTTATTTAAGGGGAGGATCCTGATGTTTTGCCAAGTGACTCGTGTTACACTTTGTGGAGCCATCGCTTCAGTTGGGAAGAAATTGCGAAGAAGCGCAGGAGAGGATTGTCTTTCCGTGCCTATCAGCTGACTTTGAGATATAAAGCTCTTGACACCGAGCCATCGAGAAGTCCGGCCGGTTAAAATCCAATTTCCCTCGGGAAAGTTAATATTGGTTTCCTCGATGGGAGCTGCGAATATGAGCTTTCAATTTTCCACTTCCGGAAAGGATGATGTCCTCCCGCGATATCGGCCAAAAATTGCTCGCCCAATGGGACGTCTTTGATATCAGACTTCCCGAATCCGAGAATTCCGGCAATTATTCCTAGATTTCAGCCTTTCGACATTATCGCCAGGTCGTTCGATTGCCTCGACGGGTTATCAGAGCCTTTCGAACAGAAATCAACTTCCCACTTACCGAATCTCGGCCCCGCAAAAAATCTCTACTTTTTAGTACTTAAACAATTTTCCCAGCGAAATCTCTGGTCACGAGTAATTAATAAAGGTTCATTATAAACATCCCACCCTCAGGTGGGGGCCCACTCATTTTTTTTTTTTATATTGCATTTCTGCAGACGGACTACAATCGGCACTTGGAGCAGTTAATGGAACGTGTGGAGAAGCTCCTTATCGGCAGTCTGCGAGAAAGGGTTACTCAGGATGGTCTTCAGGACTTGATCGACTACCACGGCTTGCTCGAGAAAGTCCGACATCTCTCCCACGGTGAGGACAATTCCCGGATTTGAGTGCATTCAAGATTTTTTTAATCTATGTATCTTTAATTTTTTGCTCGCCTAATTTTAGACGCGAGCGACTCGAAGGCCACCTCAGCCGAGACCGATTTTTTCCTCCGCAAGGCTCAGGAATTGTCGAAACTGGTGTCGGCCATGGAAATCCTGGAACCGTCCCAGGGCTTGCAGCTGAGGGAAATCTCTGAAAAGTTGCGGGAATTATCGTCCTTTGTCGAGGAGGACAAATGCTTGAATGCCGGAGGAAAATTCGAGTGGGTGGACAGCATCCTTGTGAAGGTAGGTCAATGTGCCAGGAATGTCGTGGCAGCTTCTTGGACTTCTTCATCCCAGGAATCGATTTGCAGTGTCTGCGTGAAGGGTCCTGGCTCCTGGTGGACCAAGTCAATCTCTGTAGTCCGGCTGTCCTGGACAGGCTGAATGGCTTGTTGGAGCCTGGAGGAGTATTGGCCATCGGCGAAAGAGGAGTCGATGCCGATGGAAACGTCGTCACCATCGAGCCCCATCGGGACTTCCGTCTCTTCCTCACCATGGATCCTAAATACGGGGAGATATCAAGGTAGAGTGACTCCACGTGAACGTTAACAGCATCAGTGTTTCTTACTCCAACATTTGCCTCGCAATCTATATTTTATTTTAATCCGAACGGTAAGGAGAAGCGTCGATTATGGACAATTGATTGGATAAGTAATCCTACCGCTGTTTCCGATTTTCCAGGGCCATGAGGAACAGAGGGGTGGAGGTCTTCATGCTGGACCAGGGGAACCCCATAGACCTGAAGTCGCTGCTCTTCAACTCGGGCTTAACAGCCTGCAACCACCAGGAGGTCCTCTTGAAGGTACAGGACGTGGTTTCCAGGGAAGTTTCGGCCACTTGGAAACTCGGTACAACCCAATTATTGCACGCCGCATTTCTGGTTACTCAACAAGTACGCCGAGGATTCCCGGCGAAGCGGGCCGTTAAATCCGCTTGCGTGGACGTCTACGTGAAAGCCGGATCGATTCAGCATCAGCAGGCAAAAAGCCGGCTGATTTCGCGGATAACCGAGGTGGTCGACTCCGAGGATTTTTCGGAGGATTCGAAACCACCTCTGGACTTTGAATCCGCCACCTTAAGCGTCTTCGACCTGAAGACCAACTCCACGTTGGCGCGGATAAGACAACAAGGCGTGCTGATAAAGGCGATCATCGACAATCAGTCCGCTCTTTTGAAGCACCTAGGAACCTCTCAGCCATCCGAGGCCACGACGGAATTTCTAAACGCACTTTTCGATCTGCCCGATAACGATAAGCGGCGATTAGTTGGCAAGTTTTCCCAGATTTTCCCGCATCTGATGCTGGGCTTCTACGAGCAGTCCTCGGAAGAGGACCTGGAGATCCGATATAAATGGCTGTCCAGGATGTTAACGGACGCCGATGCCAGCTTCTTCAAGGCTCCCAGGGATAAGAGCACCTTGCTGGCCAATGAAGTGGCCAGGTTTCGTTTTCGATTCGCTGATAAGTCTCTTCCTTTTGATCCCGTGGAGCTGCCGAATGCTGCGAGAAGCGTCATTCGTTCTGAGAGGGTCGATGATTCTAATAGATTAGCGTTGTTGCTGTATCTAAGGCTCTCCCATGTCAGTACCGAGGTCATGATGCAGGAACTGCAAGTTACGAAACATGAGAAGGTCATGTCTGTCCTGCAGTACTCGAATGCCGTGTACTACAGTGAGTACCTGTTCATTGTTACCGGGATTTATTCTGGGCGCGGTAGGATGATAACGGACTGATTATTAAATCATTTTTCTACAGACAAGTTGACGCCAGTCTTGAAGAGTCAGCCGCTGATAACAAACTTCGTCACGTTCTGCACCCTCGTAGAGAAGTGCGTCGACCATGTCCTGAGGAACAACGCCCTGGCTGTGGATTTCGAGAATTATGCAGATCTTCGAAGGAACCTGAAGTGGTGCGACAGGTTCTACATCCTCGGCGAGTTAACTCTCATAGATAAGATAAACAAGTCGAAGAACATTAACAACAACGTGGAGGAGGTCGCTCTACTCCTCAGAGTGCACTACAAGTGGCTCGTCAAGTTCCTGAAGAAGTGGCTGGCAAGGTGCGGCGAAGCTCCTCTGCACCCGAAATCCGAGGACGAGGTTGGGAAGTTAATTTCAACCATCGAGAACTTCAACGAGGAATTGGCGCTGAGGCGTGATCCTTTTAGGAAGATCTCGAAGAGCATCAAGAAGCACCTTCATCTGCCTCTGCCGTACTCTTCGGAGTCGATTGTAACTGCATATCCTTCTCTTAAAAAATTGTCCAATGCATTCTCCACGCACGAAGTTCAAACCGATAAGTTGAAATGGTCTCTGAGAATGTTGCTACTGCAAGAGAAAAATGTTAAAAAAGGAAGGGCAGAGTTAATAGACATTTGGAAGGAGATCTACTTGACCAGGTCCTTAGAGGAGGCGTCTTTATCAAAAATGGCAGAAATCGAGCAGATCAGCGCGAATGGCGGGTTGAACCTGAGAACCTCGTCCGAGATTTCTGACTTCATCGAGAGGACTTCCGTAGTTGATAACAAAGAGATTCCCGAAATCATTTCTAAAGTTCAGCTCTGGCCTGTGCAAGAGTACATGTTCTTGCTGTTCGCCAACGCCATCTGCGGGACTGTTTTCGAATTATCCGGGAGGAGTTCGATCTTGAGTGACGCACCTCGTCTTTTGTCGAGATTCTCCGAAATCCCAAGTATCCCAGGAAACTTGTTGGCGGTCTTAGGTGGGGCCATTGAGAAGGGAATCGAGGAACTTGAAGAGAGGAATCGATTATTGCCAGAACTGTTCGTTTTCCTGGACCGTCTCAATCAGAACTCGTCAGCCATCAAAGATTTTACGAGGGTTTTACACTGGCGAGGTCCTGAAGAGGACGCCGAAGAGGATGCCGAAGAGGAGACGCGGGGGCAGCCCGTTAATGGACCCGTCCTTGTCGGTTTAACTGCGGAATTGATTCTGAACAAGTCTCCAAATAAGCTGGGGGAATCGATCCTTGCTACCGCGACCCTGGGCACGTACAGAGCCAGGATGAACCAGTTGAAAACCTTGAACGATACATTATGGATGAACGCTGCTTCGCTGAACTCGAGGCATTACAAGTACGCCTCGAGTGACTTAGAGATGCTGAAGTCATCCCTGCACTTGTTCCTTTCCGCGGTCCTGAAAATGGAGGCCGAGTGCGACTTGGAAAGGATATTTAGCACAGAGGCAGGGACTACAATCAAAGCTGATGACGTTGGCTCGGATTACTACGTCAAGAGTTATCGCGAGCCTCTTCAGGATCTGCGCAGTTTAGCAGAGACATTAAGAGACGCACAGGACCCGGACGACGTGATCCTGGAAAGAAGCAAAGCCTGGTCATTGTTGGGATACCTGAACGCTTTTCTTTTTGGGAACCTGGGCTTCATCGACCCGGTGCACAAAGTTAGGCTCAAGCTCCAATATGCCGAGGAGGACATCATGGATCACAGATGCGGTTTATACGTAGCTCTTCTACGGTCCAGGATAGTAGGAGATGACCAGGGAAACAATCTCCATCCTAGGGCTCTGCAGATGGAGAAGGACCTGGAGGAGCTGATGGCCAGGAAGGAGGACTTGAAGAGCCTGAAAGCAATCCGACCTCCTACCTTGGAATTCATAGCCTTGTCCAAAGAGGTTGCCAACTTCAGGTACTCCTTAGGAGAAGTGGAGATCGTCCGGAAACATATCGAGCGACTATCTGGCACGGTCAGGAACCTCAGGATTCGATTTATCACCGGCAATGTAAATTCCGCCATTGAGGCTATACGAAAAACCGAAATGTGGAGAGAGTCCTTGAGGAGGTTCTCTATTCAGGTCGAGAATAAATACCTCCCAGGGTATCCGGACATCGTGCTGCCCCTGACGGCTGCAGTTGCTCAGCTAACTCACGGGGCGAATTTGTTAATAGACGAGTGCAAGAAACTGATAACCATGTCGAAGACTGGACTAGATCCCGAAGAAGTGGAGGCCATCATGAGTTCCTTGGTAGGATTTCCTAGACAACTCACCTCGCTGGCCCTGTTCGAGGTCTGCACCTCCGAAACGACCAAAGAGCTGATCGACAATACCTTGAAGTCTACGAGCATTTTCCTCTCTCTTCAGGAACAGTTCCGAGTCATGAAGTCGGGCTTGTCCGAGCTGTACAATTACGTGGTGTCGAAGAGAACATTGTCCAAGAGTCTGTGGGCAGACTTAAACGCCTTGCTGCAGCAAGTGGTCCTCATCTGGAAGCAACAAGAAAAAGAAGAGGAGACGCTCGCCGCGGAAAAGGAGAGCTTGTACAAAAACAAAGCTCGGGTCAGGGGAGAAGAACTAACGGAAGAGGAGGAAATGAAGTCGGAGTTGCGTCGTCTGTTCCCGACTTATCGAGACGTGGACTTCTCGGACATCGAGCGTGGAAACGAGAATTCCTTGGAGAGGGTCGAATCCTCAGCGGACCCTGAAGAGCGGTACGGAGGACTCATCACTGACGAGGACGTCCTGGAAGTACAGAGAATGCATTCCGACATCGTCAAGGGCTTCACCTCTTCGGCATGGTTGAAGAAATCTCCCGATCTTGGCACGCCGGATTATGTCGAGCCATTAATCCAGAGATACAGAACCTTCGGCCTCCTGCTGGAGACTTTAATGCCCGGCTTCGACTGCGAGTTCTCCTCGAAGTTGCACACGAGTTTGAATTTTTTAACCACCCTGACGGCGAGAGCGAGCGATGGTAAAAATGCTTCTTCAGGGCTTAGTGCTGCGAAGAAGTCCTACGATTTTTACAAAGACAGTAACGTGGAGGAGACGAAGCAGTGCCTACCACTGCTGGAAGGCATCTTGGAGAGGACCCTGAAGTTCCTCCACGAGTGGCCCGAACATCCGACCTTGAGGTCCATTCGCGATATCGTCCACAGGACCTTCGGCTTCTCCGTCACTTCCTCGGTCTTCAGGTTCCTCACAGGACTCGAGCTCCTTTTAACCAAGATGAAGGAGTGGGAAGAAAACGCTCACAGTGGAGTCAGCTTGTCCGAGTACACCTTGCTTCTGACCCAGCAGATCGTCTCTTGGCGGAAACTGGAGTTAGACTGCTGGAAAAGCTGCCTCGAAGAGGCTCAACGAAGATTGCGGGACAGAACTTCGAAGTGGTGGTTCTTCCTCTACGCGTTGATCGAGGGTTACGTCAACGGAGGGTTACCCGAAGACGAAGATTCTGAGAAGGAACCGTCATCCCAGGGCAAGAATGATCCCATCTCGAAGAAGACCTTCGTAGAGTCCCTGGATCGCTTCATGGGCGAGTCTTCCCTCGTAGAATTCGAAGCAAGGCTTGACTTACTTCTGACCTTCCATTGTCACGTCTATTACATGAATCCCAGTCGCAACAAGGACGAGGTCCTGGCCATCCTGTGGAACATTTATAACTATTACGGCCAGTTCTGTGCCGAGGTGAGGAAGAAGATCGAGATTTTGAAGACGCCCATTGAGAAGAAGCTGAAGGACTTCGTGAAGATAGCTCGATGGAACGACATCAGCTACTGGGCGGTGAAGGAGACCGTGGAGAAGACTCACAGGACTCTGCACAAATTCGTCAAGGAATTCGAAACGGGTCTGAAGGAAAGCGTCTCGCCTTGCTTGCAGGTGAAGCCCTCGTCGACCTCTTCCGGGACCTCGAAGGGCATCTGGGATCAGCCTGAGAAATTCCACTCGATAAATCCGGCCGACTTCGTCGCGGCACTCCCAGGGAAAATGAACGAAGACGTCCTAGTAACTGCTAAACGTTTGTCCAGGACCGGGAACCTGTTTGTCAAGGCCCGTCGTTACTGTAAAGAGAGCATTCTCATGTCCTCCTACCCGAGTTTGAGGACAGACGTGGAGCAGCTTGCCGAGGAATTCCTGGAGCGGAGCACCAGGCTGAAGAACCTGGAGGTGGACAGGACCCTACCGAAGGAGAAGCAGAAGTCCCACGCCAGGAGCATCCTCCAGCAGAAGAAGATGGCCCTCTCCGACTACTTCAAGACCTTGTCGTCCCTCGGAGTGTCCCACCGTGTCGGAACTCTGTCCTGGAGGAACAAGCAGGACGAGGTCCTGGACCTGATGGTCCCGCCTCTGCATCTCCCAGCAGCTCTGCAAGAGATAAGCCTGATAAAAGCTGACGCTCAAATGCTGTCCCAGTGGGAAGGCTGCGACCGGTACTACTACAATAGCCTTGTTAAACTAAACGCACTGAACGTTAACTTGCTGGGTACCAAGACGGATTTAGGAGCCCAGAATCTGGAACGCTGCAGAGGCTTCTCTTCGCACTTGATGCTCATGGCGAATGGACAGAAAAGAGCAATAGTAGAGGCGCTGGATTCGTTTGTCGCCCTCAGGCGGCAGTTGTCCAATTTATCCAGCATCGACGGGTCCAATTCCGACCTTCCAGGCCAGAAGAGTCTGAATAGATGCGCTGGACATTTAAAGCTGCTGTTGGTCACTCTTCAAGGTGGTCTGGACCAGTTGAAGCTGTACCTGGAAGCATGCCCGGAGAACAATCCCTTCAGTGCCGAAGAGGAAACAATCGTCCTCGATAAGGAGGGACCTAAGATGGTCTTCGCCAAAAGGGACGATCCTGTTTGGCTAAATGCCAAGAAATTGGTGGCAGACTCCCTGAATCTCCTGTTGGACCTCGCGAAACGATTCGAATCGCTGATTCCAAAGGTGGAGGATCACGAGGAAACCAACTTAGGTGGGAGCAGTGTTTTCCTTTTCACCTCGTTGCAGTTCAAGTTCCTGGCGAAGAGCTTCGAGACTGTCGATAAAGTTAGGGGAGCCATTCTTAATCTTGCTGAGATGTTTAGTGGCGACGATGAGTCTCATCATCCGATCGCTCGTCATATTACCTGGCTGGAAAGTGAAGCTAAAAGAGGAATCGACGAATTTCGGAACCTGGAAGCTCAGGGTCAATCGGAAGAGAATTTGTCCGACGAAGCTATCACTTATTTCGAAGGCGTTCTGGAGTCTCTTATCAGCTCTATTCTTCTGGTCATTCAGAAGAAGTATAAGGAGAATCTGACGTATAACGAAGAGCTACCAGCTGAAGAGGAAAGCGCGGAAAACAATAACGGAGACCTTGAAGAAGCAGCCGATGAGCTTGAGCAAAACAAGCTGAAGGAGAAACTGATTGAACACCTCGAAGCGGACATTAAAGAATTAAATTTGAAATCCGTACATCGACATTTAAACCACATTCTGTCGATTTTGTGTAATCTTCCATCTGAACATTCGACTCACTGCGGCAGGTAATTGTTGGCTAATCGTTAATTATTGTGTTTTTTTTTTAATTACTTATTCATTGTTCCTTCTTTGCAGATTACTGAAAAGATGTCTGCCATTGTTGGAGCAGTATCTTCTTTTCTCCCAGTTCTACCTGAACGAGCAAGTGGCGTCGTTCAGAGTAACTTGCAAACTCCTGTACTTGCAGTTGAACGTTTTTCTAGATCTAGCAACAAATGGCTTCTGTGTGCCAAGAGACCTTGACATGGAAGAAGATAATGGGGAAGGAACGGAAAGCGTAGACAGAGGAGGAATGGGTCTTGGGGAGGGGGAGGGTCAGAAAGATGTTTCGGACAGAATAGAAACTGAGGATCAATTGGACGACGCAAGGCGAGCTGATGAGGAAACGGAAGAAGTGGAGGACAAAGACTGCAAGGAAGAAGAAAAGGGTATAGACATGTCGGAGAACTTCGACAGTAAATTGCAGGACCTTGAGAAAGAAGGTGACGAGGGCGATGGTGAGGAGGAAGATGAAGAAATGGACAAAGAGATAGGAGAGACGGAGGAAGGCGCCGATAAACTGGACGAAGAAATCTGGGGTGATGATAACGAGGAGGAGGAAGAGAAAGAAGCCGATGATAAGCAAGAGGAACGGGGGAAGGGCGAAGAGATCGGTCAGGAAATGGGGGCAAAGGATGAAGACGAGGCTGAGGGTTCAGACCCTGGGGAAGATCGGGAGAGAAAGGAGGAGAAGAAGAAGGATATCAATGAGTTTGAAGAACCCGAGGTTGACGATGATCAGATCGATCCTTATCACGGAAACCAGCAACCGGAACCGGAACCGGAAGTGCTGGATCTGCCGGAAGACATGAATTTGGATGGCGAAGAAGGGAAGGATAATGACGGCCCTGAAGAAGAGAATCCTTTCGACATAGACCAGATGAAGGAAGATCAGTCGCCACCGGAAAAGGATGCCGAAGAACCAAAGGTGGATGAGGAGAAAAAGGACCCTGAAAACGTGGACGACTCGAGCGATGAAGAAGATGACGCTAAATTGGATCCGGATCAAGCAAGCAAGGAAGAGAAGGAAGAAGACGCGAATGAGAGCGAAAGAGATGCTCACAAACAGGGAACGGAAAAGGGGACTGAAGAAGAAGAGAAGGAAGACGAGGATGGCGATGCCGAAGAAGAGGCGACTCCTAGTTCAGACGCTGCCAGTAAAGCAACGGATGCTGCGGAACAGATCGATGACAAGCAAAGTGGAAGTCGGGATAAGGTGGCTCAGCAATCGAGGGATAAAGACCAAGAAGAAGCAGCTGAAGAGAACGGCGAAGGGAATAATGAAGATAAAGGAGTTGGGCAGTCCCAGTCGGAGAATAATGAAAGTGGACATGTAGGAAATTCTGCCCAGGAAAGTCGGCCCTCTTCGTTGAGGGAACACGAAGACCACCCTGCAGAGAAGAGGAGGAAACCCGGAGAGAGCGACGAGAACCGTAGTTTAGTGGATAAATTCGAACCTGACAAGAAAAAGCTGAAAACCATCCACTCAGCGGAAAAAAGAGCTGAGAATAAGGGGGAAGAATTGTCGGAAGAAGAGAAGCATATTACGGACACGGTTCAACATGTTAAAAAGACGGAGAAATTCGATGACCTTGCATTGGATGCAGCTACGGAAGACCAAGTCAAACAGCAGGCTTCCAATTTAGAGGAGAAACAAGACGAAGAGAAAGAAGACGAACCCATGGACGTAGACGTGCACGAAGACGAGGAAATCGAAGTCGATGATGCTACTGAAAAGCAAGGTGCGGAAAAGGTGCCCGATGGTAGTAAAGAAGAGAAGGCAAACACTCGTCAGAAGGGAAGTAATATCGAAGAAGGGACTGCGGAGCAAGTTGTAGAAGTCGAAGGGGAACTTGCAACTACGGAGAAGGTAGACCGTGGACATGAATCTGCATTCTACACGAATCTTACACCTGAAACTACGGAAATAACGAGACAGGTTGAAAGCAGACGCCTAGAGATTGAAAAGATGTTGGGCAGATGGGTGCAAGTTCCTTCGACCGAAGAAGCCATGGCTGCGTGGAATAGTTTAAGTATGGTAACGGAAACACAAGCTAGAGATTTGTCTGAGAAACTGAGGCTCGTTTTAGAGCCTACGCAGGCATCCAGACTCAAGGGTGATTACAGGACTGGGAGGAGAATCAATATGAGGAAAATCATTCCTTATATCGCTAGTCAGTTCAGGAAAGACAAGATCTGGCTGCGGAGGACCAAGCCTTCGAAGAGGGACTATCAGATTGTCCTGGCCATCGATGACTCCAGCAGCATGGCTGACAATCACTCCAAGGAACTGGCCTTTGAATCTTTGGCCTTGATTTGCAAAGCCATGAGTTACTTGGAAGTTGGACAACTTTGTGTGGTAAGCTTCGGAGAAGAGGCTTCCTTGCTTCATCGGTTAGGAGAACCATTCACCGAGCAAAGTGGATCCAGGTAACATTGGAAAACCAAAAATGTTCATCTAGTTATTCCTTCGTTAAAAGTTATTACATTAAGGAGAAGTAACATAATTCCAGGTTAATTCAAGACATGAAATTCGATCAGAAGAAAACTATGGTTGGACAATTGGTGGATTTCACCGTCGATATGTTTGAGAGCCAAAACTCTTCATCGGATAATGCAAAACTGCTTGTAGTTTTGTCCGATGGTAGAGGAGTCTTCTCCGAAGGAATTGACCGGGTACATCGTGCCGTTCGGAGGGCTCGATTGTCAGATATATTTCTCGTTTTCATTATTGTAGACAATCCTCTCAATAAGGTAATAATGAAATATTTAAACTATTGTTTAAAAATATTTTTAAACTTAGTCACATGTTTAATTCAACTTTTTCTTAACCGTTCCAGGATTCCATTTTGGACATTCGAATGCCTATATTCGAAGGAGGAAAATTATTAGGCATTCGCTCTTACATGGACAGTTTCCCATTCCCATTTTACATGATCGCAAGAGATGTAAATGCTCTTCCGGGCCTTCTAAGTGATGCTCTTAGACAATGGTTCGAAGTCGTTGGAAAAATCGATTCTTAGAAAATGAAACCAAACTATGTTATTTTAATTATTTTCTCTGTTGGACGTCCACGCGGTATATATTTTTTATATATATTTTACATAGAATTATACGTAAATAAATATATACGCGCGTGTGTATGTACATTTTGTTACCATACATCTACATGAAAATAAAGCGTTTAATTTTATAATTAGTTCTTGAAGTTTTAATTTTTTAAGAATACTCTGTAACTTGTAAGATTAGAAATTTATACGTTTGCTCGAAACTTATCTTGCGTTTCAGTTCTTCAACCATAGTTTTTGAAATAAGGAATAACTTAATAAAAGCAGAAGTAAAGAATAACTTAAACGGACCCGTAAGTAAAGTCAGGACAAATGACATACGATCGGACTTCTGATAGTTTTTGTTAACATTCGGAAAAGCACGTTATCTTGAATTCAAATATGTTCGGTCATGAGTTACATGAAACATAGAGGTACATACTCTGGTACATACTGCTAGGTCAAATCTTCCAATGAAGAGGGCGTCAGGTTATAACCGGCATTACCGTTGCACACGAATACCGCCTTCCTGACGAAACACGTGGTGAAGAAAAGACGTTCAGATCTTGAAATTTATTTTAGACGTCTTAAATAAGAAAAATACCTCATAACAATGGAAACCAAGGATGATGCAAGTAAGTCAAATAGCGAGGATGATGTTAAAGCGAAGGAAGAGAAGCAGGACGATCCAGAGAAGGCACAAGAAACTCAAGAGACAGCCGACTCTTCGTCGGTAGAACCCACTTCAGAGTTACTCCAGCAAATTCGCGAACAAGTTGAGGTAATTCTTTCACTGTTTGTACTGCCTTTTGTATTTTCTTCCATGCTTGCGTTAAGGGGTTAAAATTTGCACCTAGTTTTAGGAATGAGCTTTGAGGTTAACTATCACTTGTAGCGTAGATTGATTTTGGTCAAAGACAACACGCTGTACGGACTCTATTTTCCATACTTCAAGTTTCTATACACTCTGTTTTTTTCCAGTTTTATTTCGGGGATGTAAATATGCAACGGGATAAGTTTCTAAGAGCACAGACAAGATTGTCCGATGGCTGGATTCCGATGTCTGTCATGCTGAGATTTAAGATGTTAGCAGCTCTGAGCACTGACATGGATGTGATCTTGAAAGCGCTTGAATCCAGCGAGCTGATGGAGATCTCGGAAGATAGAAAAAGTATTCGCCGTTCTTTAAAACATCCGTTGCCAGTGTACGACGAGGAATATAAAAAGGCTCAAGAAGCCAGGACGGTATATGTTAAAGGTTTCCCGCTTAAAGAAACTACGATTGAGGAACTGAAAAAATTCTTTGGATCGTTTGGGCCTTATGAAAGTGTTTATGTATGTATTTTGCTTGATATTGGTACAGGTTAAATTCTGTTTCGATAAATACATGTTTGATATCTTCTTTTGTCAATAGATGAGGAAATACCAAGATAAGGAGAAAAATTTGCACTTTAAAGGATCTGTCTTTGTCCAGTTTTCTACTATACAAACTGCCAAAGAGTTTATGGAGAAAGAGTCCATAAAGTATGGAGAAAATGAGCTTATTAAGAAATGGGTGTAAGTATTACACGAATAAATAATTTATATTGCAGATGAGCAATTGGTCCTGATTTTAAATAATTTACAGAGTCGATTACACATTGGAGAAATTAAAAGAACGAGATGAAAGAAGGCTCAAAAAGTCTGAGAAAAAAGAAAAAATTAACAATGTAAGTTTAACTTAGCAATAGCATAAGTACGTGACTCATCCTAATTACCATTTAAGTCAGAAGTCGTAACATTTCTCATAATTTCAGGACAAAGAAGATTCTAAAGAAGAAGAACAGGAAACTGAAAATGACAGCGGTTTGCCTAAAGGTTCCATTCTCCATATTTCCGGAATGTTGCCTGACTGTACAAGGGAAAACATCAAGGAAACTTTGATAGAGGCTGGTGCTGTCGTAGCGTTTATTGATTTTAAGAAAGGTGACTCCAAAGGCTGGGTACGTCTTCAAGGAGAGGATGCTGCTAAACCTTTTGTGGAAAAGATGATAGATAGTAAGGTGAGTTAATATCGTGAATCTGATTTCTAAAAATACGCAACGATATTACGAAGAACTAAACTCCCTTAGATAACCATCAGTGGAGCAGAAGTCACTTGCCGTGTTCTTGAAGGAGATGAAGAAAAAGATTATTTAATAAAGGTTAAGGAAGAAATGAAGAATGTCAGGCAAAAGCTTAACAATAGGGGAAAGCGTGGTGTTAAAAAGAGTGAGTTATAAAATTAGTGCACACTCTAACCGTTCTTGAAAATATTACATCTTCAGGTAAAACATTACTTCTATTGTATGTTTAAAATGATGACCAGCCATGCTAATACTGAGTGATGCATAATGTTGGCATCTCAATGAGTTGACGAAGATTGAATTACTGATTTCATAATTAAGATACTAATGTTCCTCTACAATTTTTGGGAATATAAAATAACATCCTATTTGTTCTGTTTTAGATCGTGGTGGACAAAAGGGTAATAGGAAACGACGAAATAGTCTCACCTCGGATGAAATTCCTGAAAAGAAGCGGCTGAATGAGTAATACAGCAAAATAATTCTTAACGGTGATGCTCTAGACGTCACAACTAATTAATTATACTTGCAAATGTTTATACAGTACTTCGAGCTATGCTTTATTGGAATTCACTTACTTGACAGACAGTGGTTTCATACATGATCTTTATTTTGGGGTACATCCTCAACATCCTTACATAATTGTGCACTTTCTTAATTTTATTAATTTAAAAAAGAAAGCAAAGGAAAATCAGTCATAACTTACTACTGACTGAGGAACGAACATAATTGTTATAAGATGAAAATATCACCTAGTACTGTGTGTATTTGTTTTGTCCTAGTTGGATTAGGACATCAAAAAATGTTTAACAGTTAACGATAAATTAGTCATTTTTCGATAGTATAGCGTAAGACTAAAGTTACAAGAAATAAAACATTTTAACTAAAATGAATTTCTATTAACCCTACAAAGTGTGAAGATATATGTCAGTAATGGTTTCAATATTGTATCTTGCATGACTGTTCAGGTCCACCCAGATCCTAATTTATTATTAATGAGATAAATTGTTGAGAGAAAAGATCCAATCGACCGGAGCAACAGTGTAGTAAAAGTAATGACACTGATTTCAGGAAATTATGAAGGGAATAAGATGGGACAAAATAAAAAGAAAGCTGAGTAAAATGATACTCCTTTTATTTCAAGGAAACAAGTAAATAAAAATTACTCTAAAACATAATCCTCATATAATCAATTACATAGTTTGTTTCTAATAACTGGATTTTCATTGTGAATGGTTATGTTTATTATTATCACATTAATGTGCAGGCAGAGATCTAATTTTGGTGAGCTGTACCCAGTAAGCTAATTGTATTATATGACACATAGAAAGGGTTTTACAATTCATAGAGTGCTAGAGGAATAAAGTTGATAATGATGGAAAATGTTCTTGGCTTCTTTGTATTTTGTGATTTTATATGTAACGCATTTATCGCTGCACAGGCGGTGCAATTGGAAGGCTGGGTGAACTTAAATTGGAAACGGCTGAGCTCGGACCAAGTAGTACTTGCTTCTGCTGACTACGTTGCATTTCTTCCATTTGGGCACGTTCTATTTCAAAGAGTACTGGAGCAAATAGGATGACAGATGAACTAACTATCAGCCACGTAGCTGAGCAGGAATATGCATATAAACCTATAAGAATTAATTGAAGTTGAAAAATACTGGCAGTTTTGAAGAATTTTATATTTCTATAATAACACGATAGAAAACTGACCTTTTATGCAAGTACTTAAGCATGATCCAAAACTGTATCCGAAGTTACGTACTTCTTTTGGAAACATCTCGGTCAGCCCGATTAACCTTTCGGTTAAACTCTCATCCTATATTATGAAATAAAGAATTAATCATTCAGATAATTTAAAGCAATAGCAATACTTTAGTTATTATTGAGTGCACGTAAAATTTCAAAATTATGTGAGATAAGTCCCACATCATTTTCTAGCGAGATCCTGTGGATCACCATGACCATTAAATATTATGTAAACTGCTGATTGCACATCCTAAAGCGATGGCTCACGGAATATCAAATGTACGTCGAAAATAAGAAATGATGGTCAATCGGTGCATGTTACCTCCTCGTTGAGATTCTCGTCGTCGTCGTCGAACAAAAATTTTATTTCAGGGGAGCGCATGTCACTGCTGCCCATTCCGCTGTCTAGCTGATCAAGTTCTTCTACAGAAGCCATAGACAGAGATTAAAAAGTACTCGATGCGACTATCTTATCGTAAATGTTTTAACAGCAGCCTTAAAACATGAGCACATTTCATACGAGGAGCAGACACCAAAGATCTCGTCTACAGCGGAATTCTCTGTGGTCCCATCTCCACGGTAACGGCGATTTTTCGACCAGTTGTACCAACATAACCTATATGAACGTTCCTCTACGCGTCGTTAAATCGAGGTCAGTTGCATTGGTATTCTTATGCAGTTTAAGACTTCTTTAAGCACGATGGCAATGCGAGGACGACCATAAACATAACGACTTTATACAGATTTTTGTTACGTGCGGAAAAGTTAATACGTTTCAACGCGCGACAGTTAGGACGGATTTAATATGTACTACCATGAAAGTGGTCCCATTTTTTTACAAGAAATAATCTTCTAGTCACGTCTAAATTCGACGCTGTAACTTGGAGGTTATGGTGCGGCGACGCGTGACAATGTTTTATTTTTGTAATGAATTATGAAAGTAATAGTTATACGTTGTGACAATATTTTTAATATCTGCTAGTCTTCCAATAATATAGTAAAAATGCAGTTGAAGCCGTCTACTGAGATTGACTTGACCGACAAGAATTCTGTAGATGATGATTTGGTTGTAAAAAGGAAAGGCGGTGGAAGTATCATCGATCATCGCCCTTTATTTTCACAGGATGGAGAGTATGTTTCCCTTTTTCCCCCTATTACTTTTATGTATTATTAATGATGTCTTCTTTGTCGTAGGGTATTATACGTTGTACGGAAACAAACGATTAGATCTTATAGTACACAAACTGGTGATTTTGTACGAGAATTTGAACCCTTGGAGCATAAAATTAGCGGGATTTCAATACACCCAAATAATACAGGAACGATTGTTGGCTGTTCGGAAACAGCGGATGTTGTATTTTGGAACTGCCACAGTGGAATTATTGCACAGAGATTTGTGAGTCGCATGAATACATGTGATCGATGTTTCGATAACTCTTACGTCAACGTAATCATTGTATTTTATCCGTAGCACCTTGACATTCAAAATTTGAATGCAAAAATTAAAACATTCCATGTCGTACACTTCAGAACAACTAATGGGAAAACTGTTTATCGAATCCTTGTTACCTATTTCTCCAGAGCCAGGAATATCATTTCTGTTGTCCTTTGTGACCCTCAGAGTGGGAAATTCATCAAGCATAGATATATACAGTCAGTATTTGCTACAACATATCTAATTATTTTTATCATTATATTGTATTTAATAGATACAGTATATCACGTATTTAAATGTTTCAGAGCTGACTGTGATGATTATCATGTAGATTGCATTGGGAATGGAGGCGACAACTTGATTGCAGTTGCGTATAAAATGGATTTACATATTTTAAGTCTAGGAAGAATGTTAAATGATACAATGTAAGATTTTTACATCATAGTCCTTAAATATTTTGTAGAAAAATTAATCGATACACCTTTCAGGCATAAAACTATGAGAACATTTACTTGTATTGCTGGGCACCCTAATGAAGACTGGGTCGCAACAGGAGATATAAGTGGTAGAGTTTTGGTATGGAGAGGGCTTTCAGAAAACAAACCGATTCATACTACGTATCACTGGCATACCCTACCAGTTAAAGAGATAGCCTTTAGTAGTTCAGGTAACAATTACTCTATAAAGTATATTATATAGATTCAAGGATCATAATTTTAGGTATTCATAAATTTAAATTCCTACATTAGGGGGTTATATGTACACTGGAGGTAGCGAGTGTGTCCTCGTTAAATGGACGCTTGCTAATCCACAACATAAGTCATTTCTTCCACGGTTACCAGCACCTATCAAACATCTCATAATTGCACCAGAGACTCAATATGTTGCTGTGTCAACGCTGGACAATGGTAATTAAACATATGATACTAGGAATATTCCATGATGTATATGAAGGTTATCATGTTTTTATATTTCTTCGTAGGTATAGTCATTGTGGATCCACACAGAAAATTAACTTCGATAATACAGAATTTTACATGGGGGGTCACCATGTCATGCCAGGATTTATTCCCAGCTGGCCTCACTGTCGATCCACGAACCAACAGTCTTGTTCTCAACAGCCGTACAGGCCATGTGCAATTTTATGATCCTCACAATAGAACTCTTTTATATAATGTAAGAAAATTACACGTTTCAATCTCAAATCAGGACAAACGCATCAACCTTCTCACTGGAATAAAAATATCTTTGAATATTCTAGGTCAACATAACGGCACAAAATATTCTGAGTCAAGAACGAAATGCCATTATTGTAAATACAGAAGTTATGAAAGTAACATTGAATCATGATGGAACGTGGATGGCAACGGTCGAGCAACGAGACGATAAGTTGTCTAGCATTGAAGTGAGACTCAAATTCTGGAAATTTGACGTTAACAGACAAATGTGTGTGAGAGGAAGATTCCATGGAACTATGTTGAAACCTAATTCGAAATCTCAATTTTAAAACCCTTGTCATTTTAGCTTTGTTCTCAATACTTCTGTCGAGCTGCCTCACGAGGATGGTGTAACTGCTTTACAGTTTCAACCGTACACATCATTTAATAGCGATAATCCATTGGTGGTCACAACAGGCAGAGATAAAAAATTTAAATTGTGGACTCTTGTCGAACCTACTTCGATACATAGTATGTGAAAAATATGTTATGGAAAAATTACGTTTCATTAAAATATGAAGTGAATAACGGAGCAAAGCTTAACGGACACTTTGTCAATTCCAGAAAAATTGAAACACTGGCAGTGTCATAGCGTTGGCTTCTACAGAAATCTTCTTCCAACGGATGCCACATTCTCCATGGATGGTTCCCTTCTCGGAGTTGGCTTCGATTCCACTTTGACAATTTGGGTACCAGAGACGTGTAAACTAAAATGCAGTCTTTCCCACAGGCACTACACTCACCCTATAACGTTAGTTAATGTGATATATTATTTAGAATTTACTTGAGTAATTTTAAGTATTTCTGAAATTAATATTTTTTTATTTTTTATTTTTAGTCACCTTGAATTCGGTAGACACGAGGCGTGTCATCTTGTGGTAGTTGGGTCAACTGAACATATAGCTGTATGGAATCTTTTGACTCTTACGTTAATGTGGGGTGTACCTCTTAAACTGTCTACTCTGACGGCAGATCCAAACTCGATATACATGGCTGCCTTTACCGCTGACAATACACGTAAGTAATACTCATTATAAATTGACATAGAGGTTTAAAATGGTTCAACGAATTATTCTTCCCTTTTCTAACATGTTTTCTTAATTTTGTAGTATTTGTATTTACTCCCCGATCCTCGATGCCAGTGTACACAAGAAAACAAGTTCTTGATACAGACAGCTTCGTGTTAGGAGCCTGTTTTGTATCACATCTTCAAGAGAAAGGGGCTGGTAAACAATGGCTACGAAAATCCCAGATCTTCTTTTTAGACTCCAATCAGGTAAGAATCGCATGATTATTTTTACGATGGAGAATTAATGTGAAATAATTTGGTTTATAAATTATGCTTGCAGGAGCTACTTTCGTTGGAGCCAGAATCTACAGTTACAGTGCCCCTAGAAAATTTATCCATCGATGGACATGTACCTGCAACTGCTTTTGCAAATTTAATGGCATCGCAGGTTATTTTGACCAAGGAGAAAACCACTCCGTACGTCTACGAACAGTTCGGACTTCCTGGGAAAGGCATGGTTGAGCAAGTAAGTAAAAATCATCGCTTGCTTACGATTTATTTCCGTTAGTTTATTAATTAATTAGATGTTACACAATAATGCATGACCTCCCACGTGACGGTAGACATCTGTTAAAATAATTCTATACGTGAAAATACAAAGTACGAACTTACATTACGGTATGTATACTGTTATCTGTTCTATCAGGTATTTCAGGTATATCAATGATACGCTTATCACACTTAAATACATGGATTAAGTCGTTGAGTCGTACAGTAATAATTGATCTAGCGAATACAACTAGTTATTAGAACATAAATTGTAGCATACGTCTAGTATAAATTAAATATCTCGACTTAATCGATTTTACAAGAACAGACTGTTAACAATTGGTACGATAGAGTTATTGTTTGCATCCAACGTAATTGGATTACGAGTAAATGCATCCGTTCAGATAAATACAATACTTTGCTTAGAAATTCCCTGCTGCACCAGCTCTAAATTTGATTAGACTTAACCTCAGGTAAAGCTGGAGTCTTTTGTTAATACAGTGTGCCAGAATGTTCATCGATCTCGCAGAAGTTAGTGCTTCCTTCCTATGCGATAGTTCCTGCATCTGCGAACCAAGTCGAATTTCCTGTAACGAAGGCAATGCCACTGTGGGATCTGTCTCATGCTCTCGATGGCCTGAAACAATTTCAAGAAGATCAGCTGGTCATAATCAACCATTAATAATATTTAATCCAATTAGTCAGGGATGAGTTAATCTTTCAGGAACGTCCAAAACGTTGACACGTGTATACCCGAACCAGGGGGAAAAAAAAAGCATTCGGTCAGTTTATCTCTACTTAAGAGACGAAGACACCATGTCCATGGGAACAATGAGACGAACCGAGAAGCTGCACTGTCGATGAACACCTACGGTAATTAGAATCAGTTGAGGGCCCTCTTAAAATGAATTATCCTTTCCATCTGACACGAAAGGGGGAGATTTCGCTGAATTGAAGAGGAGCGGAAGTCCCTGACGGAGGAAAAAGTTTTCCAGCCCTCGCGAGGGACGACCGGAAGCCGAGGCTCTGCCTACGTCCGATCTCGGCTCGTTTCGCCTCGAGTATTGCCTCACTTCTTCTCGGCAAATGACACACGACAGGGGAACAAAACTCCGAGTAAAAGATGCCAACTCCCACGCTTTGTTACGCCTTCGTCAGACGGTTCGTCAGTGGTTTCGTGTCAAGGAATGGCCAACGAAAACGAGGCTTCCAAGAGCTCGAATGTCGAGGAGGAGCGACGCCTTTAGGGGATGCCGATGGGACCCAGAAATCGGAAAATCCATCCTGGGAAACACCGTTGGACGGGGGAAAATTCCCGTCGATGAAACATCGCCGAGGGCAGGAGATGATTACAGGCGATTAGAAGGTCCGGAGAACGTTGAACTCCCGGCACAACCGGCCGGAAATTAAACCGGCTCGGACCGCCGCGATACGCGGAATTCCGGCCGTTTATTTACCGGCTTAATGAAATCATGCCGATGGGAGAGACGAGATTTACTTGTAAAGCACTCAGGGTGGTCGTGGCGAGGTAAAGATCCTCGTAGACGAGCCAGTCGACTCCTGGAATGAGTAAGAGCGATGAGGGGAATAAGCGTTCACTCGTTTGCGGTACTTACGGCCTCGGGATTGCCGATCGGTAGAGACAAGACCACGGCGGTGGAGAACAGGACCAGGAGGAAGAGGACCTCCAAGAGGCGCGTTCCCTTCATTCTCCTTTATACGGAATGTCTGCACTCGCTTCTACTGCGAAGACTTCTGGAGAGGGAACGATATTCCTGTCCAAGGTGCGGACCCTGAAGAGACCCAAGGTCGACGTTAGGATTAAGGGGACCTGAAAGTGGCGGCCGAGGAGGTCTCGTTTACAAAATGTATCCCCGGACTGGGCGTACCGAATCGCTTGAAATGCGGAGGCTGTAAGAGAGGTCCCTCCACCCATGATATTTCCAGTTTTCTTTAAATTTTTTTATTGGTACTTTTGTTTTTCTTTTTCCTTTTAATTTGTTATAAAGAGTGAAATGGGTGGAGGGCCTCCGGATTTAGGTGGGATGATTTCAAGCGATTGGGTACGTCGAGCTTGCGGGAAAGCTTCTTCAAGGGTTTATCTCTCGGATGGCACTTTCGCGTCACCTTAAGGTGAAGATGGACCCGGACTGGATCGACTTCCGAATTAAGAGGCCCTTCTGGTCCAGCGGACGGTGCGACACTGTCTCAGAGTTGTTTCTCCGTGGATGTTTAACGCGGGCCTTGTCATCTTATCCCTCCACCGCGAAGAGTGGAGGGAACGCGTGGGACAGGAACTCCGGAGCGCTTCCCCTCGCCGGCCCTTCGGCTCCCGGTCGGCGGAATTGGGGGAAAAACTGCGCCTCCGAGTCCGGGAATTGCGTTTCACGAGAAATTCAGGGAACGAGATGAGGTTTTAAGCATTTTTGGACGTGGACTCACCGCCTTCCGAACAAGCTGGAGAATTCGGATACAAGCGGATGAAGCCGGAAAACCTTCCTGCATCTTGAAAGATTTCTCGAGTCTTCCCTTGACGCAATTTTGAACAATTTGGCTTGGAACATTTAGATGATAATTTATTTATATTAAGATAATTTATATTAAGATGTATATGTATTATTCTTTTTTTTTTTTAATCGACAGTGTACCCTAATTTTTACTGATAATTTAAACATGGAGTAATTGTACATGCTTAATTTACAGCTGACGAATATCCCTGCACACACGTTGCCTCCGACGAGGCTTCTCTGCACTGCGTTTCTTACTTCCTTGCTGACGGTGCCTCCGACGAAGTCCTCAAATGAAGACTCCTCTAGGTGAATAGAAATTGTATACACGTCGATTGTCTGTGTCAAGTTAAGATTGACCACCGATTGTAGTACTTCGGTTGATCCTTGTCATTTTTTCTCCCCAGGGAACCCGATGAGGACGACGTGTTTCAGAACTCGAGGAACGAGAGCGACGACGAGGAGACAGAGAAAAAAGAGGACTCTAAGAAATCTCTTTCTCTCCTGGTGGACGCTGTCGATGAGGCTTCTGACCAGGCTCTCGTTAATCACGATTGGAGTTTCCTTTCCTCTTTGCTCCCTAGCGATGAAGGCTGATTTGGAAGTCGTAAGTTCCTCCAATAATCATGCGACTTGCTCGACTTCCATCTGAAGAATCATTAATGACACCCCTGTGGCATCGTTGACTAATTGTCATGTACTGTAAGATTTCGAGGATTATCTCTGTGACGCATTGCTCAGGATCGGTGGTATCTGTATGTCATTTAAAAAATTAAGTTTACGTGTTTACCAACGCTGCATGGCATAACCCGGACTACGTGTAGGTGGGGTGAAGTGAATCGTGTATGTATTGGTTCTTGGTTTATTGGCGTAAAAAATTAATAAATATACGTTGTGAATATGAACATACATAACTATTTTCATACGATTCCATTATACATTAACGTAGTAGACCAAGGTACAGCAATAGTTAACTAATTAAAATAATGCATTCACATCGTCGACAAGCTGTGCATTCTAATGTCTGTATGACTTGTCGTTAATCTAATCACGCAATACTGGCTGTCCTTATTACGCAGTTGCACATTCTGGTCGATTGATTAAAAAAGAAATACTGTAATAACAGTAATTATCGTGCTTGCTCTCCATAGTCGAGTTCTAAAATTTTATATTGAAGCTAATCTAGGGTACATCATGATTCCAATACAAGCTGCGTAATACTGAATATGTACATCTGTATAAAGGTGACATCCATCTTTAATTAACAGTATTTTTATTATTAAATCATGGACTCAGATTGCGTTCGAAAATCTTTAATTTGTTCAAAAATGCCTCCATCGACATATGCTTCCTGTTGACCTTGACTGTAGCGTTAAAAACTTTTTTTATTCTCTTACGCCTTTTTTTTATTTGAGAATCTGTAGGCTCGAGCACAAATTTGATCACTCTTGAAAATTTCCTTGCACTCATTAATTTATTCTGCTGAATATTACAGCCATCCTTCTCTTCAAATATTGTTTCCAAGGCACGCGGCTTCCTCTTGATGCTCTTATCCAAATAATAATTGATCACGTCATTTTCACTTTCCATTGGTTGGTGCGATCGTTTCCGAGGTTTTAAATTACATCTGTAAATGAAACAAACGAGAGTTTGTGTACACAGTTTTCAGTTCAATTACGACAGCACGATTACAAAATGTATTACCTTCGATTACAACCTTCTAAAGGACTAGGTTTTGGTATTCTTTTTCGCAACATCCGTTTGTTTGGTGAGACCATCTCCAAGGGGCCCTTGGAGCTTACCGTAAGCATCTCAAGTTCAGCCATTACTTTCGGCAAATCACTTACATCCTCACCACCGTGAACTGGCTTTCTGTTGAATATCCGGAATTTTTTTTATACAAATCTTTGAAATCGAAAGTCCCTAATCCACAATCAACTCTTCCTAACCCCCAAATTTATTAAAATTCTATGAGCAAGTATTTTAATTGTTCGGAAACAAAAGGCAGAAACTTACACGGCGGCACTTTCCTCGTCCATGCTTTCCATTGTTTGTTTCCCCTCAGAGTTACAAGTACAATCACCTCGTTTTGTTTTTTTTTCTAGTCAAACAATTCAGCTCGTACCAGCGGCCGTTTAATAATTCTTATGTTAACCAGAGATTAGTTGGTATTAACTAGACCGAATACTCGAGGATAGGTTATGTGACGTCCATTTGCGTCGCGCGAAGGGAAGCGGCGTCGGTAAGATCGTTGCTTGTGGTGACCATGTGGCGCTATCTCTCGGACTCGCTGCGAACTGCGTAGCGCACAGGCGATCGGATAGTCTCGGATTCGAATGTGGTGATCCAGGGCGCCGCGAGCAGGTTAACGCGAGTTAACCTGAAAATGGCCGAAACGGGCGACCCTCAGGTGTCGAGTGTCGTGACCAGTGCCGTGAGCCGCGCGCAAACGAAACCCCTGTCGGCCGAACGGACACCCGAAATCACCTGCGGCCCGATTGGTACGTAGTATCGAGTTAAATCGGGGCCAATTAAGTCGTACAGCTGCGCAGAGACCGCGAGCATGCAACAAGTGGTACGAGGCGCTCTAGCATGCCGAACAGGGCCGTGCCTCGGCGAGCTGTCACCCCCCTCGAAGGATCCCCAAAATCTACGCTAACCGCCGCCTGATAACTAAATACGCGTCCCTCCGACTAACGAATCCCCCTAACCCCTTTTCCCTCGAATTCCACCCGGTAATTTAGATCCCTGCAGTAATTCACTAGTCCGTTAAAAATGCCGCGGCGACACCTGCGACCAGGCTGGGAATTTCATTTCCATCCTTTCACTGGAATCTTGATCGAAACGGGACTTAAGATCGGCGGATCATCGAAAAGGAATTTTACAGAGAGACAAACGTATCTAAGCACCTCTTCCTAAAGCGTTACCAATTTCCGTGCACGTGTGGTTTACATCGTGGGTTCAACGTATGCGTGTATATACTAGCTAATCCGGCTAGTACGAGGGTAGTGCATCTCGTGGGAGTGGTGGAAACGTGCACGCGTGTTTATTTCCTGATCGTTTAGGAAGGCCATTTAATGTTTCCCATTTATCGACGCCGATTTTCTATCGGCGGTTGGTCATTTCTTCCTCCGATGTCGGTAAGAGCGACGCTCCGGGTCCATGACCTAACCTTTCATCGTATCCGGCACCTTTGCGGATGCACAGGACAGTAATCTAGTTTCTTTCGTTTCGTTTCAGTCGAAGAAGGTGTCAAGGAGGTTACCTCACCGGTCTGCGCGGAAACAGAGGAGAGCAAACCACTGGCGAATGGCGATGTTGGTAAGTTATCGACGCGCCTGCTTCAAAATTTAGTTCCTCGTTCTACCGCAAGGTGAAATCGAAACCCGAAAGTATCGATCTGCCTTGCACTCCACATAGGCGTTTGTACGCATTTAAAGGTATGTATGTACATACGTTTTTCGCGTGTACATACATCAAGGTCGTTATTCCGTTCCAAGATGTCGAAACAATGATAGATGTACTAATTGCACGGAGGAAGGTTACTCGAATGCCTGTCTTACGTATTTTGGACTCCCTGATTTTAAAGTGTAGTTGGGATTACCTGCAACCAAGTGGGGAGTTTTCGAGGGGGAAATATTGGACGGGGTAATTAATGCTACTTTATTAAATCTTATTGACCTTGCATTAATCATGCATCGACCCAATATTTGCATATGTAGGTTTAGACGAGGGGTAGGAATTAAAATTAATGGAGAGCCTGATAGAGTCAAATTAGGCGAGGCTCTTTCTTTAGTAATTTTTCCGATGGTCCCTAACCTCTCTCTCTCTCTACGGCTATTTTACAATTCCTATTTTTCCCGGGAAGCCTTTTGGGAGAGCTCCCTCTCAGTCAACGGGGGTAAAGTTCCGATTCCTGGTGTCGGGGGAGAAATATCCCTAGTTTTCCCCCAGGGGAAAGGGTGAGAGATCCGGAATGCCGTCAGGTTTTCCGATAAAGGCACATTTGCTGGGAGTGCATCTCGAGATTGACCTAATCCCTCGGTAGGCCAGTGTCGAGTCGGCGTGCAGCGGCGTCGCGTTTCCCGAGCGAGCGAAGCTTGCGCGGACCGGGCGGGTCGGACCTCTCTCTCGGGGCCTCGCGAGTGGGCATGCGTCCGTCTCCGTCGCACTCACATAGGGGCTCGCGCCTCTGCGCGGACCAGGCGGGTCGGACCTCTCTCTCGGGGCCTCGCGAGTGGGCATGCGTCCGTCTCCGTCGCACTCACGTAGCGGCTGGCACCTCCGTCCCTGTCCCACTTGGCAGCCTCTCTCTCTCCTGCGGGCTGGTCCCGACTCTCTCATCCCAGTGCGCGCATCGAACCCGTCCTGGACGAAAGTCCTTCCCGCGACTCGAAAACCGGGATCGCGAGTCCTGCGCGTCCCGGGGGGTCCCGGAAATGACCCGACCCGGATCGCCCCGTTTCCCGGTACGACCTCGACCCGGCGATCTCGAGGAGAGACCTTAGGACGACGCGAGTCCGATGTGTGAAAATTTCTAACGAAACTTCACCGGAAGAATGGACTCGTGGAGGAGGTCGACCAGCGACTCCTAGGGGAACACCCGACTACGAGGAGATCCTATACGAAATGTACGATTTATCCCCATCGCACCTTCGCGAAGCATATTCGAGGATGTCTCACCTTCGGGAAAGGGAAGGCTTAACGTTTTGAGTGCCGATCCATTTTAACATAAGGGCGATATTCCCCCGCACGTGCTGGCGATATTCGACCAAACGTCGGGCGCGGCTTTAGGACGCTAAGGGTTAAGAGCTTGTTTAGGCTGCCGAGCTTATCAGGCTCTCGGCGGGGAAGTCGCGACGAGTGACCTGGATCTTGATAGCAAACTAGATCACGAGATACGACGGTATTGCGATCGAACCGTGACGAGCGAAGCTCGTACGGCACTCGATAAGCTCGATTGTTCGATCTTTGCCTCCGAGGTGTGGAAATTTTAGACATTCTAACCTCTAAACCGGGAGACCGACCACGTGGTAGTTGCGAGTGAATCGATCACGTCGGCGACGATATATCGATATCGATCATCCCATGAGGAAATATCGACCGACCCGCAAGTCGAGACAAGGCGAGAGATCCGCTACGATTTTCTACACTCTCTCGGCGATTCCGGAAGTAGGCCATTTTGTTCCGGGCTTTCGCGCTTAATGGACGTACTCGACGTGCCTCGAGGAAGAGTGAAGCTTTCTGCGGATTTCGCCCGACGAGGGAAGCGGAATACCGCGCCCAAGGGCGGAGGGATTTAAATCCCACGTGTACATCGAATAAGGATGCAAGGAATCGTTTCCACGAGGGCGAGGAAAGAGGAAATTGCCCCGATTTAACCGCTTAACTTACAATAAGGTGTGAGAGACGTGGTATATCAATCGGGCCAAACGTGAAGGAAACGTGTGAGAGACGTGTCAATCGGGCCAAACGTAAACAAAATGTATGAGAGACGTGTGAGACTTTGAACGTTCCGCCAGACCGTGAAATGGCCCGATGTATGACCGACATTTTTCTTGTTTATGGCGTGTGCTATTGGAATTTAAATCCTAAGGCAAGGGGTTAAAGGACCCAGTTGCGAATACTTGGGAACAGCGGTGGGTTTCCTCGGAAACCTCCAGGAAGCGGAAAAGACTGCGGGGAGGGTCACAGAACGAGCGGCCGAATTTCCGCATCTTCGACGCTACGAGAATGCAGTTCGGTTTTCTCTGGGGCAGAGATGTGGAGGGTTTGATCTCTGGTTGATATCCCGACTCCACCCCAGATAGAAACTAGGGGTTGCTTCACCCCGACGTGGCGAAGAGAGCTTCCCTGGGTCGGAATTGCACGTGACCAGCGGTCCCTGGACGCAAAGGACCCGGGGGACTGCGGAGGGGAATTCGTCCTTAGTGGCGGGTCCTTGAATGGAATCGAACGAGGGTCGGGATCCTGGAAGAGCGGTCTCTGGGTCGAAGGACTCCCACTTCCTAAGGTTGTTCTCGGTCGGCCGACGAAATGCCGGAGGTTCTATGACGAAGCGAGGCTTCTCGTCTCCGGGGATCCGGGGAAGCCAGTCGAGGGTGATGCGTGGTGGGTGAACCAGGAGGTCCCTCGGGATCCGGGGGTGTCGTTCCTGGAGCTTGCGAGCCTGCTGGGCCGCCGCGAGGGCCAGGAAGAGGTCCTCCAGGCGATGACCGAGGAGGCTCGGAAGAGGATCCTGTGGCAGTACTACACCTCGAGGATGCTCACGCACAGCCATAGCGACGGAGAGTTTCCGATCTACTCTAAAGGTATATCCCTTATGGCTGATTATTCTAAGGATGTCGATGATTGACGCCTGGACCTTACTTAGTGTCCAGGAGACTCGGTAGAGTTTCGTGCCAAGTACATTGAAAAGCACGCGGGAAATACTTAACGCTATAATTCGGCACTTCAATTCGAAAAACATATTTTTTTTTCAATTTATCTTCTTGGATTTAGTGGCTTGGGATTTAATTAGCTAGTAATTCTATGTCAAGAGTTCAGGCCTAGACCTTACCTTAGATTGTTTGTCCGTTTATCCACTCGCTTGGATTAATTTATTTAAAAATAAAGGGGTACCTACTGGGGTATATATTTTAATTTTTCGAAAAAAAAAAAACCGCGGCGTTGCGCAGGAACGACGGTCACCCATCCTAAGAGGGGCCGCGCCCGGCGTAGCTTAACTTCCATCTTACGGCTTTTGGTAACCCCTTTAACGGAATTTTCCCGACGCCTTAAGGCAGGAGACTCGCGGTAACGATCGGCGACATCGCGGCGCCCTTGTAAAAAGTCTTGCCTCGTCCTCGAGACAGGATCCTCCGCGACCCTTCGACGGAGATAAATCCCGTGCATCTGGGTCATCGATTCCGCACCAGGGCCGCGCGTTCCGATGACATCCTCTTTAAGCCCCCGAATAGTCCGCCCATCCAGGCCGCCGATGATGATCCCTTCCGCCGATTTTCTATCTAATCCCCCTTTATGATCTATAAGCCATCCGGGAAAAACCACGCGATATTTCCCCCCTCGTCGGCAGTCTTGCGTTGCGACCTCCGAAATAGAAAATCCTCGGAAAATTGCACCGAGTCGCTCGAGACTCTTAAGGTGATGTGACAGTGTCATATATATACACACACGCATCAAAATGTTTATAGAACTTTTCTCCAAACAGGGTGCACCGTATCATTTGAAACTTCATCACGGGATTATGAAAGTTATGAAGGAAGAACGCGATGCTCGTGGAATTTCATATTTCGAGGAAAAATTTCTATCCATCTTGGACAGGAACCAAAGAGAGGGATTTTTCTTCGAGAAGTGAAATTTCATATGCATCGCGTTTATCTTTAGATCCTTCATACTCTCTTGATGATGCTTCAGATTATTCGGTGCACCCGGTTTAGAGATAAGTTTTATGTTTTGATGCTTTATATATGTAGAATGGTCCTTTTTTGTTAGATTAAGGCGACGTCTGCGCGATTTCTGCGGTTTCTAAAGTTAGTCATCCCCAAGGAAACGCGTCTTCGGCGACCCGGTTGCTTTTTACGAGCCCCGGGGTTGTTTGACGACTCTCGGTCTTGTTTTACGACAACGCTCGCCGCGGGAAACAACCCTTTGAAGGGAACCACTCGGACACTTGGTCGAGGATTTTTTTCTAGCCCTCAGGATCTTGGCGGGGGCAAATTTTCACGTTAGGTTTTCCTTTACCTTGGAGGGAGGAAATTTTCACGTGAGGTTTTCCCTTACTTTGGCGGGAGCAAATTTTCACGTTATTTTCCCTTACCTTGGCGGGAGCAAATTTTCACGTTAGGTTTTCCCTTTGGCGGGAGCAAATTTTCACGTCAGGTTTTCCCTTACTTTGGTAGGAGCAAATTTTGACGTTAGGTTTTCCCTTACTTTGGTGGGAGCAAATTTTCATGTCAGGTTTTCCTTTACCTTGGCGGGAGGAAATTTTCACGTCAGGTTTTCCCTTACTTTGGCGGGAGAAAATTTTCACGTTAGGTTTTCCCTTTGGCGGGAGCAAATTTTCACGTTAGGTTTTCCCTTACCTTGGCGGGAGGAAATTTTCACGTCAGGTTTTCCTTTGGCGGGAGCAAATTTTCACGTTAGGTTTTCCCTTACTTTGGCGGGAGGAAATTTTCACTTTAGGTTTTCCCTTACTTTGTCGCGACAAAGGAGAGCCCGTGGGTGTTGCGATGCTATCGCGTGGTGGGATCCGTTCGTACGGCTATCGGCGCATCTTTTCCGGCCTCGAGTAGCCAGCTCCGATGGACGAGGAGACGATAAGGGAAGGTGGGAAAAAAGACGAGTCCGAGAGAGAGAGATAGGGCGACGGCGACGCCTCGAAGAGTGACAGCGGTCGCACGACGTCGAGGCGTCGCGGCGTCAGCGTTTCTCCTGGGATCCTCTCGAAGAACCCTCTAGAGCCGTAATCTGTATTTTCCTCGGGAGAAAATTCTCCTACGAAGGAAAAACCTACTTGTACGGACAAATAATTTCCAGCCGTGTTAAGGTGATATGAAAGGGTCATTATATTTTTTTACATCTACATTAGATATTTTATATATATATATTATGTTTATTACACTTTTCGATGACTCGAAAAGATATTTCAATCATAGCACTCGCGGTTTTTGCTGTATTGGGACATTGTGTAGATATATCGACGACACGTGGGACAATATTTCGGAATAATCGATCTGTTCATTTTTTGTATAAACTTTGGGAGGCACCGTAGTCTCGAAACCCGGTAATTGGCGAGAGACTCGACGAGAGGGCGAAAATCAATTAATTCGGGGTTTCTCTCGAGAAAAAGGTAACGTCGAGTCTTTTGGGGCGCGATGGAGGGCGTCGGGTGAATTTGCCTCTTTTCTTCTTTTTTTTTCTTTTCTTCCCCGGAATTAATTGCGCCTTTTTCTCCCCGAGTCCGGGGGGCGTTCGATTTGCCTCCATCGGGGCATTTCGAGATTTCAAACGAGTGATGGACGACTGGGCGAACCCGGGGGGGAGGGGCGAGCTTTGTCCTCCGATTAAATGGAAAAATTGTATACCCAGACTCAGGGGAGCCCGCGCTTGGCTTTTCATTGAAACAATAAATGAAATGCTTGCAAATGAAAGGAGGGAGAAAAAAAGGAAGAAGAAATTGCGGCAGGGAAATTTCCATGTTCCTTCGGGTTGTCGTGGAGGAACGGTCGTTTCTCGGTTGCGTACTTGATGTACGTTTAGGGGATAAATTTAATCCGTCGTTGAGTCGCTTATCGATTCGCGATGAAGTATCGGTTATATCCGAGGTAGGTGAGAATTTATCGGGCAGACCCGGTCGGCCGCGAGATGCGCATTTTCCGGGTGCAGCCAATCGGGAAATCGATGCCCACCTTAGGCTCGAGTTTTCCCCCGATTTTCCGCATGGGCCGCGGGTTCTTTTCGCCCGTCCATCCGCTCAGGCGGGCGAGAAAGGTCGGCGGTACTCGAAAAAGATATATCTCTGCCCAGCATCCTCGGACGTCATTCTCTCTTTCTGGCGATCAAGAAACTCCTGGTGGAGTTTCGAGCCAAATACGTTTCAGCGAGAAAAGTGTCGAACGATGAGCGAAACGCGCCTGCGGTGAGACGCTACCGAATTCTTAACGCCAAAACATGCATGGACCACGCCATGATAAGTAGATAAATTTTAGATAAAAAATGAAATTTCATGAGTTTCAGGACCTACTTTAGGGCTTCCATGTTCACGGGGTAAAATTTGAAACGAATCGGTACATCCAGTTCGGAGGAAATACTTTCATCAACGATTTGACTTCTCATATACATATATTTATTTATTTATTTATTTATTTATTTATTTATTTATTAGGGTGTCCCATACGTTCCTTCCACACCGTGTATTTGTTTCGTATCAAAAGAAGGGGAGACCTAACCTAAAATGGGACATCCTAATATTTACATATGTATATATTGACTCTTTCATATCAACTTAATTCCGAGTCGTCCCTCTCGCAACGGGCATGGCTACGTCTCTTCTCCGTCGGCTCTTTAAGGCTGGTTCCATTCATCTCCTTTTCTTTGTCCCGCTCGATAAAAGGCAACCGAGCGCATCCACGCTCCGATGGAAATGTTCCGGGCTGCGGTGAGATGTGTCGCGGAAATCGTTACGAGATGCTTCCTTTGCTCGGTTTCGTCTCCTGGTGGAGTTCGCGATCCTGTTTCCTCGTAATCCTCGTTACAGTCCCGAAGGAAGTCGACGGTCGTTCGACCTCCATCACACACGAGCTATTCGTTACGCTTTTAATGACCATTTTTCCCGATAACGCGTTAATTCCTTCTGGATGCGTTGGTCCTATGGTCTGCAAATATCTCTTTGAAGTGGCTTTAAAAAAAAGGAATTAAGGTACTGTCGGTAAATGTAACATCAGAAGTTAAGAATAACCGGGACGTGGCGGAGGAGCGGTTAGAACGGGAACCGACCGCTCCCAAGTTAAGCTACGCCCTCCCCGGCCCGGCCTGGGATGGGTGACCGTCCCTTGATTTCGGAACGATCCGCGGTTTTCCAGACTTTCATTCGGTTTTTCGGGTTCCATTGACGATCCCTTATGAAACCCTTACTCAACTTGTAATAATTGATATGTTGACAGGAGTTTGCGTGATGCTATACAAAATATTGTTTCCCTTCCCCTCCACGTTACACACAGCAGCCTTACGATTTTCCACGGAAGGTTGTTTCGAGTTGGAGGTAGAGGAACTGTGGGGACAGCCACGCTCCACAAGGACAATTGACTTATTCCCTTCGATTGATCCTTACTAACGCTTGTCCCACAGTGTTTTTTTCACTATTAATTAATAAACTAATTATAAAAGCCCCACCTTGGAGGAAATCCAGATATCAAGACGTTGTGAGTAACATTCAGGGCCTGATTCGCTCTTTATCTCGTGGGGAAAAAAAATTAAAAAAAAAAGATTTTTCCACATTGGCGGGCACGTTCCTCGCATTTCAGCCGTTAGTCATGACGGCGGGCGAGAGAGAGAACCCCCAGGACTCGAAAGGTCGAATCGGCTCGAGAGAGTAGGTCTAAATTAGCGAGTCTAGACGACTTGAAATATATCGCGAGAGATTCTCTCGCGCCTCCACGTGGTCTCTCCATGGCTCTCCTTAGCCTTCTTTTCTTTCTTTTTTTTCTCTCCCCCTCGTTGATGCGACGTCGCCCGAGTCTTGACACTTTTCGCGTTCTGCCAGACACGGACGTTGATATAAATATTAACATAACCTCCTTTACGCCACGATTTGACACGTGACAGTCGGAACATCTCTTACAGTGATAAAATATATACACGGCGTCAGTTTGGTCCGCGTAAACATCCAACACATTTTCCTTGGACATTTCGAAGGCCTTTATCATATCCGACGGGTTATCATTGCGTTCGTTATTATTGCGCGTTACTAATGTATTATAAAGAGATTTATAAAACTTTTCCCCAAACTGGGTGTATCGAATTATCTGAAACTCGGACACGTGATTATGGAGGCCCTAAGGAATAACCCGATGCTCGTGAAATTTCATTTTTCGCAAAAAATTATGTACTTCAAAAAATGAAATTTCACGGGCAGCGCGTTCTTTTTCAAAATCTCCATAATCACGTGTTAGAATTTCGGATAGTTCGGTACACCCAGTTAGGGGAAAAGTTTTTTTTATATATNTATATATATATATATATCGTATCGCCTTAAAAATCCACTGGGAAGAAAGCTATCGTTTAAAGCCCGCAGTCTGGCAACCCCGCGATAAAATTCCCCCGGCCCGAGGATGTTGAGGATGGCCTGAGTAAATCCCGCGTCGGCTGGGTTGTATCGCAGGAGAATGGCGAGAGGGTAGGGAGATGTTTCGAGGCGAGTGCGTCTCGCGACGGTGCGGCGTTGCGGTCGCTGGATGGCGCCGCTAGTTGGCGCGCCGGCCGCCGGGCGGCGCGGCGGTGTCATGGCCGCCGTCAGTGCTCGCGAGCCTGGCTCGGTGCGTGTCTCGTGTCGCGGCGGCCGGTCGCGCGTTCGCCGTTTCCTCACCGCCCCGTGTCCGCTAGTCGGTAGAAATTCCGTCCGCAGACTCCCTCCGTCCACCGTTCGGTCCGCGGCTCGCGAGAGTAGGATCCGGCAACGTCGCGAAGGCGTATCTTTGGCGTCGATTTATCCGAGGCGCGTCGCCGGCAGGCCCCTCGTCGGGCGCCCTAACCCCACCGCGGGATAAGCGACGCACAGCCGTCCCGAGGCGCGTCCTCCGCGTCGTCTACGCCCCTCGTGCAAGAGGCCAGTCGTGGCAGTGCTTCCGATACGCGAGTGCATCGAGAAACGCGAGCTGGACAGGCGCGAGAGAGAGAGAGAAAGTGCCCAGTGCGCGTCCGTCCCTCTCCCTCCCTCTCTGTCTCTCTCCGGCGACCGGCGTCCCTCTCCGGCACGCCGCCGACGCCGTACAGGTGTTCCCGACGAGATGCGCCCCGGTCGCATCGACTTGCCCCTCTAAACCGACGGGCGACCCTCCTAACCTATGCCCGCATCGCTCCCTCTATTACGGAAATTCCCGTCGACCCTTGCGAGGCGCGTGAAAAGTGAGCGAGCTCACCGGGCGAAAAGTGAGTTTCCTCCTCGCTGTGAGTAACCCGCCGGCCGAGCCTTTTGCGCCGACGCCTTGGGGACTCGCCGATGGAAACTAACCTAGAAGGCTAACTCAACGTCCACGAGAGGATGGTCCGAGGCCGTGAGAACGTGGCATTGGAGAAAGACCGCGTGGGCATTTCTTTTTATTTTTTTTAACCGTTTTTCTTTTTTTTTTCCACGGATTTCGTTGCCATCACGGGAGGCGACCCGACGCGGTACTTTGTTCCTGGATCCGAGAGGAGGAATCGGGCGAAAAGCGATGCGCCAATTGCCGGGGCACGTTCTTTTATGCATAATGGATTAAAATTCGATCGGCTGGGAGGATTCCACGTCGGAACGTGATTTTAATCAAAATCGTAGAACCCTTGAAACATACCGCCGTTATGGCCGCGATGAGACTAGGGGAGATTGATTTTCATTCTTTTTTTTCTTTTTTTTCGCGTTTAAGGTGGATTCACCCTCTCCGACACGTATCGGTTCAGGCACGTGACGGTGCCGGTCCGACTAGACGTAACTTCCGTTTCAATGGATCTGTTTATATTCTCTCTACCCAAATAATGCGAACCGAGGGCCTATATATATATTTCTTTGGTTGCATGATTTGTTTGCTGGTTTTTTTTTTCTTTTTTTTTTTCTCTCAGGCTGGAAAATTGAAACAGGACCGAGTGAGGCCTTAATGGGTGTTACGCAGGTGTGAAGGATGGCTCGTAAAAAATCGGAAGGAAAATAAATAAAAATGAAAATGCCAACTCGTACGTGTATTCTCTTCGCCGGCGACCTCGGCTAGCGAGATATCCTGGCCTTCGATGATCTACACTTATTTGTGCCCCGTTTAAATATAGAGTTTTATCGATTACGCCGTTAGTGAGAGAGGCCTGCGAGCCGTATACACCGGCGGGCTTTGTTTTCTACCCCTCTTATCCTGGCTCCCAGGGTAGGATGTGTCTCAATTCCGTTCTACCGTGTCGTAAGGTCGCTTTCGATAAATTGAGAAGAGAGAGAGGAAAGAAAAAAAAAAAAAATAGGCAATTCGACGGCGCCTCGCTCGATCGCTATCCTATATCTCGGGTATATACATGGAGCACGTGGGTGCGAGGAAGACGGCGTGAAAGCGCCGACGGAGATGCTCTACCGTAAAAAGTACCGTGTCAGGGCCGGCCATTGTCGTAAGATTAATCAACGGCAGGCAGTTATGTCACCTCGACGCTGCCGACCGCTCTTCTTCGTCCTCGTATTCGCCATAACTCTCGTTTTTATCCGACCGCCGCGCCTCGCGATAACGCCTATACGTGATAACAGCTCCTCGGCTGTTAACTCGCGAATCGGGGAAAACAGCTTTCCCGAGCGGGGGAGATATATTCACTTAGGAAATCATTTTAACCCTCGATATCACGTGGATGATATCAGCTGGAAGTCGGCGAGAAACTTTCAGAATTTTTATGGCAATATGAAGGGTTAATGTATACGTAAAAAAATTCTGAAATTATTTATCAAAAAAGGGGTTAGCTTGAGAGATTGCACGAAATCATTTGGAAGTTTATGGAGGAATTTATTATGTACTGAATGACCCTTTCATATCATCTTAAGGCTTAATGTTACTTGTTACCGAATCGCGTTTTTTTATCGTACGAATGGCAATCAGCTCGCAGAAGGGAATCGCGTTGGATGATATCCGAGTGATAGAAGCCCCTCGTAATTTCCATTGATTTAATACGATTTAATATGATTTAATATGATTTAATACGATTTAATTCGATTTAATATAAACGCGATAGACAAACGACGATTGGTCTTGAAATGATCACTACGTTCCGGTGATTTCCAACGATTTCCACGTGATCTCGAGTATTAAAATCCCGGATTTTATAAAGCCGTCCGATCGAGCGATAAGGTGTCTGCGCCGTTATCACCGGGCGATTGGGGGCCTCGGATCTTCTCCGTGGCGAACTCGACGCAAAAGGCTCAGCGAGCGACTTAGGCGGGGAAAATTCTGAAGATATCGTATCGCACAGGTGTCACGTATTCGGGGCATCATCGAGGACCGAGGCGAGGCGAGGAGAGGATCCGGAGTTTGCGGCATCGCGGAAGGAGTCGAAGAGCACGATCCTCGGATAAATAGGGAACCCGAGCCCTGCCATCTTGGAAGACGGGGATTTTCCTACAGGAGGAAGGAAAAGCGACCTCGATCCGCGTCCTCCCGAGGGACCCCGTCGGGGGAGCTCGAAGAGGCGAGGACGCCGAAGAGGCATTCCCCCAGGGAGCGGGTACGAGGAATTCAGGGGGAATTCTTGGGAATTCCTCGAAGTGGATTCCGGTCGAAGGGGGTCGGGAGGACTTTAGAATTTCGGGGGCCAGAGGAAAGGAGTCGGTTTTCTGGCCCTTCCGTAGGATCATGCCGCCCCGTGGCTTCCATCCAGGGGATGTCCTAAGGATATCCGAACATCCGTCCGCCGTGAATCGGTTCTCCCGGGCGAGCGCTGGACCGCCTCCCGAGGCGAGAGGGCCACCTCGATCTACGGACCCGTCTAGGAGGTCTCTCCTGCACTAGGTCCTTCTAGGCCGTCCTTACCGGCTCCTTCGCTTCCCGTGACCGAATTAAAGAGTCGAACGGGGAGGAGACCCGGTTGATACGAGAGAAGAGCGTCGAATGACGAGCCGGCTCGCCTTCCTCGAGGTCAGCTGATCGCGGCTGATGGTTCCGGCCCTTGGCTTCCATCCAGGGGATATCCTAAGGGTATCCGAACATCCGTCCCCCGTGAATCGGTTCTTCCGGGCGAGAGGGCCACCTCGATCTACGGACCCGTCTAGGAGGTCTCTCCTGCACTAGGTCCTTCTAGGCCGTCCTTACCGGATCCTTCGACCCTCCTTCGCTTCCCGTGACCGAATCAAAGAGTCAAACGGGGAGGAGACCCGGTTGACACGAGAGAAGAGCATCGAATGACGAGCCGGCTCGCCTTCCTCGCGGTCAGCTGATCGCGGCTGATCGTCCTCGGCCGCATGCCGGATCCTCGACTTTCACCGGCCGGCTGATCCTCTCGCCGGGGAGGCCGCACTCGCCGAATGGCCGGCCGACTTCCGCCCACCAGCTGATCGCGACTACGACCTCGACCTCGGCCATGTCGCGGCATCCGCGGTAACCTAAGGAGAGAGAGAGAGTGGACCCTGCGACCCGAGGATGTCCATCCGAGTCAGCGGGGTGTACCTGGTGCAGGCCCCCCCCGGGGTCGAGCCCGCCAACCCCGAGAAACCGCCGGCCAACCCCGTCGCCGAGGGCAACCACCATCGGCATCACCTTCGACACACCGGGAAGACGGTGACCATCGTCGCCGGACCCCAGAGGAGCAACAGCCTGGACTACCTCAACTTCGAGGAGAAGAGGCAGATCATCGCGTCCTCCCTCTCGCTCAGCGACTTCCTCGCCCATGGACCTGCGGCCGCTGCCGCCGCCGCCAAGGAAGTCGCCGCGAACACCGTAATAGGTTCGATGACTTATTTTAACTATATTCATTTCTGATAACGATTAGGATTCGGATTATGATCCGCGAGGGAAAACAATATTTACGCGAGCTTATCAATTTTTATTTTTTTCATTTTTCTCTCTTGGCTCGACCGTGGACACAACGATGTCTTATCGACGTTAACACGTGGACACGTGGACGAGCTGACATTTGGCCCACGTGATTAGGCTCTTTGGTCGATAACGTGGAATATTTTATCAGGTTGAAATTTTCGTTTGACATGGACCATACGCGGTCGGTCGGGACCGTTTTTGTTAAATGAAGGAGATATTAAGGAAGGAAGGAAATATAGCAGACATTTGGCCCACGTGATTAGGCTCTTTGGTCGATAACGTGGAATATTTTAGCAGGTTGAAATTTTCGTTTGACATGGACCATACGCGGTCGATCGGGACCGTTCTTGATAAATGAAGGAAATATTTCCTTTATTTCTTTTATTTCTTTTTTTTTTGCTTTTTTTCCTACGTGCGAACGGCGGACGGGTGGAGCCGTTACCTCCCACCCTGGTCGATTCCGAGTCAAGGAACTCGACGGCGATGCTTGTAAACAAACACCCGGCTCTAACGCGCTCCATTCACCGGGGCCCCCCCGAGGTTCCCTTTCTCCTTTTTCGAGATATCCTCTCGACGATAAACCACCGACGGGTATTATACGTTGTAACGTGCACGTAGAATGTCACGTTATTATAATTTATACCCGTATATACGGGTGTATACGGATTTTAATACCTGAATGTATTAACGCGATATGAAAGGGTCATTCTATACGTGTAAAACGTCAAAATAAATTGATTAAACTTTCCTCTCTATACCTGGATGGCACCGAATCATTTGAAAGTTCAGCACGTGATCTTGGTAGTAAGGTAAAAAAAGAAAAAAAAAAACTTATTTGAGGAAGAATGAAATTTCACGAGCATCGCCTTCTTTCTTAGGGCCTTCCCAATCACGTGCTGAAGTTTCAAATGATGATGATGATATATAATGACCCTTTCATATCGCCTTGATGGGATATTAAAATACTTTGTTAAAATTCCACGTATTAAAATTCACGTATATATATTTTTTTTTTTTCAAACTTGGCACAAGGCGCTCTTTTAGTAATAATGGAAACGTCATGCGATCGGCTTCTTTGAGTCGATCGGCGCGGTTGCCGTTTCGCCGTCCGATAAGGCGCGGCCTATGGGGGTAGGGAGGGAGCGCGTGGCAACCGCGCACGGAAATCATTCATTGAGCCGCGAGTCGGCGGCCCGCGCGCGGTGAGGTTAGGTTAGGTTGGGAGAGGTTAGGTCGGCCCGACTCGTCTCGCCGAGGAGACGGAGCCCAATTGGACCGTCTTGGAAGGGGAGAAGGAGAGAGAGGGGCCCCATTAAGGTCCCTGGGCCCTCCACTGGTTACCTCTCCCTCTACTTCTACCTCGGAAAACTCCTGGAAAATTCATCTCCTCATTTCGAGTTTCTATGGCCGCGAAAAGCCGCGAAAGCCGGGCCAATCAGCTCTCGCGTCTTTGAGCCTCGCCTCGGGCCGCGTCTCGTACTCGAGATCGCCTATCTCTCTCTATCTCTTATCTTTCTTCGGGGCGGAGGGAAGGGGACACGCAGGAAAGTTATTCCCTCGAATTAAGGTGAAGTGAAACACGTCGAGGAACTTGATCGACGTCTGGGAAGAAGATTTTTGTAAATGCCTACGTTGCCGACGTTGGTTTTTATATCGACAGCTGGGTCGAATTATATTGGGCATTGTACCAAATGGCATACTCCATCTGTCGTTTTCGTACGATAATTATAAAGAAATCGAAGTTAAACTCCAGAAATCCTCTGGATTCGTGCTTTCTCGGGCCCTAATTGACTGCAGAGGGACCCCCTGCGCCATCTGTGATTTCCAGGTGAATTAAATTTTCACTCCGAGACCTCGTATTACCATCCTTTTGGCATAGAAGCGCATACAACACTTTTTTGCCCTTATCCCGTTAAAATGCGAGTTTATCGATTACCAGAGTGTTCTAAATTGTCGTTAAATTGTCCTGACCCTTTCTATTCTCATATCAGAGCCTTCGATAATTGTATATCGATCGAAATATGAGAGCTCGACGCCATTTTGGTTCTGGTGTGGGCTGAGTTAAACAATTTTTTTTATAAAATCCAAATTTTGAATGTGTCAGGACAATTCTTAGATGATCAGGAGTGACGTGTCAAAGTTTCGGACAGTTTGGTCTAATACCCTTAAAAAAAGTGTTGTACTCGAATCGAATGGTTTGAAGGGGTTTCACTTCACCTTAATAAACGTTTCGGTGGTTTATCTTTGGTTTGTCGTCCTGTGGAATTTTTTCTCGGGGCGGCATTTCGGGTCAATCGGCCACTTCCGGTTCGCGATGATACAATGTCGCTTGTTCTGCTTATCTGATTAGTCATCGCTCAGATGACTCCGAGGATCAGATTCGCAATCCTACGTCACTCGCGATGGATCGATGAGTCGACCCTCCGGAATCTCTATCGTCGATTATCGACGCGATAGGATCGATTTCAACGGGGATCTTCACTTTGGAGAAATGTTTCACGGATGTTCTGACCCCCTTGTTGCGCGGCCACTGATAAGGATCGATCGCCATTTGTGTACATTTTTGCATATCGTAAGTGGGGAGAAAGTAAAATGGATAACACCTACGGATTAAACAATGATGTATGTAGACGTAACATTGTATGTTCATCGTATTGGTAGATCTTTTAAACTCGGGTTAGATGTAACGTTACATCTTCGTTATCTTTAACCTTACGATGTGATATCACAGCGACAATGTGATATCACAGTGACAATGTGATATCACAGTGACAATGTGATTCTACTGGAACTTATCGTGGCATCGAGATAACCCTTCACTGAGGACGCTAATTTATATGGGGTTTTTTTTATCACCGCCTGTGTTAACCTGGAATCCAATTTGAGGCACAAAACAAATTAACAGGCTTATTTGAATGTTCTGTCATGTAGATGTTCCTGCCATGTTGAGTTTTGTTCCTGCCATTTCTTTTTAGAAAAGCTCGAACTGTTAAGCCTTTGAACGCGGAGCCATTTCGACCTACGGGCGAAATTCCTCTGACCGTGCAGGCGATATTGGACCGAACGTCGGGCGCCTTCAGGCGCTCTCAGTAGCCAAAGGGTGGAAAAGAAAGGATAAAAAAATTCCGAAAATTACTATTTTCACGTTTTCGAGGTTCTGGGGGGCTCTGAATTTTCCTAAAGTCTCAAAGGACCCATTAGAGTCGAAAAATCCAAATTTCCACGACTTCGGAATTCCTTTATCTTTTTGGACCGTTTTGATTTTTGTAAAAAAAAAAAAATATGCAGCGAACAAAACTCAACATGACACAAATGTTTACATCACAGGAACATTCCGATAAGAATGTTGATTTCGTTTGTGCCTCAAAGTGAATTCTAGGTTCACACAGCCTGGATGATCCTTTCGTGACAGAGAGGAGATCCAGGATACTCGAGTCGTCTATAGGATCTAATTCGCGATGCCCGCGAAGACGCTTTGGCTTGGTACTCGCTTTCTATCTTATCGCCTCGCGAGGTGATAAGATACATATACATGTATATATATATATATCCTCTACGAGACGTAGTTTCGCAATCCGCGAATTAGCGTTCCGCGATCTCTGGCGCTACTCTCCGGTGGAGGAGCTTCTTCGGGGAAACGTCTCCTCCCTGGGCCCCCTCGTCTCGACTTTTCGAGATATCGCGTTTTCCTCCTCTCTCGAGAAAGAGAGTAAGATGATATCGTCGGCCGATGTGGCGCACATCTCGCGAACAATGGCCCTTTTCTCGGTGCTTTCCTCCTGAAAAGAGATATAGCTTTTCGGGCCGCCCCCTCTTCAGGATAAAGAGGTGTCCTGGGCTATCAGGAATGTTCTTCCTTGGGACAGATTTATTCTTACCCTGGTGCGATAGGGCGCCATTTTGGCTCCTCGGAGGGAACGGAAGAGATGGTACTCTGATCTACGTCGATTCGCTAATCTCGATCCGGCTCGAGTCCTAATCGGATCCCGGCCATGGTTTATCCCCAGGTCTCTTTGTAACCTCCTCGGGAACGACTTCCACGGGACGGACGATCTCCGGATGTTTCTCCGGGCGTTCGACTTTCCCCGCTCTCCACGAGGCGTTCTACTTCAAGGAGTTACGAGCCCCGGTGTCGTGCCGCGATAATTATGCGATTACGTTACTTAACCGCATAACTCGCCTCGTGAAAGTCCCCCGAGTGCGTAGCTCGTCGCGAGGATTCCGAAGGAACGACGTCGACGTCGGCGTCGGCGTCTTTTCGACGTTTTCCGAGTTATGGAAGGACACGCGATATGTATATATATTCGCCTTTGGCTGAAAATTTCTATCTAGACCCGTTTATTTTTATTATTATATAGTATTATACGGGGAAGAAAAGAAAAGAAAAGAAAAAAAAAAAGAAAATCATTGAGCCAATGAAATATTGCTTTGCATAGTACCGGAGTAATTTTTTTTCTTTTCTTATTAATTCAAAGAATTTGCCTCGAATATACGGAAATTGTTATAATTCCGAAGTAACGTTGCATCCGATTTATTTGAGTCGATTCGAGGGAAATTATTGAATGAATAAAATCATTCTTTGGCTTCCTTGGTGTAGGTCAGGGTTACTTGTCGAGGGCTAAACTTTCTTTATCGTAATTCCGAGGAAAAGTTGCATCCGATTTACTCGAGTCGATCCCAGGGAATTCTTTGAATTAATAAAATCATTCTCTGGCTCGGTGAAATCTATCTTCCTTGGTGTAGGTCAGGGTTACATGTCGAGGGCTAAACTTAGTCGTAATTCCGAACAAACGTTGCATCCGATTTATTCGAGTCGATCCGAGGGAATTCATTGAATGAATAAAATGATTCTGCGACTCGGTGAAATCTATTAGGTGGGCCGGAAAGTAATGTCGCTTTCTTACATTA